TATTATTATTATACCTGTATGTGTAAATATTCTATCCAGAATATTTGGGGATCGATTGCACCAATGTTGACGGATTTTGTACATGGAAATTTCGAGTGTAAATTTTATACATGTATTTAGACCTAATCATCCAAAGACCAAACATCCTAGTTAAAGAAGACCAAACATCCTAGTTAAAGAAGTTTGCTATCGCAAAGTTAAACATATTGACCTCAATGCCTTTAAAGCTGATATATGCGCCTCAGATCTATTTCAGAAAACTTGGTCAAGTGTTAATGATATGTCAAAATGCTATGATATTAACCTACGTTCTATTCTCGATAAGCATGCTCCTTTGAAATCGAAAGTTATGACTGTTCGACCAATGGTTCCTTGGTTTAATGATAGTTTAAAGAAGCTGAAAGCTAAACGTAGGAAACTGGAAAGAATCATACTTAAATCGAAACTTGAATGTGATAAGAATGCTTATCGTAAGGTACGCGATGACTACAGTGCTATATTAAATGACACCAGAAAAATGTTTTATTCCAACCTTATTGACAAATCTGCTGGTGATTCTAGAAAATTATTCCAAATTGTGAACTCTTTGAGCAAAGAACGTCTAGTTGAGGAGTTTCCTGAAAATCGCGATCCTTCCATCCTTGCTAACGAGTTTGGTGAGTTCTTTTGTAAGAAAATTGAACTCGTGAAATCAAAGATTGACGAGATTTCCATTAACCCACCTAATGTTAACCCACCTGGATTATCCTTGAATCTTCGAATGCTTCAAGTAAGTTGGACCCTATTCCTACATCATTGGTTAAACTCTGTTGTCATGAATTGGCCCCAATCATCGCTGAAATCATTAATCTCTCTTTCTCTGAAGGAATTGTACCCGATCATTGGAAAATAGCGCTAGTTCTACCTCTTTTGAAGAAATTTGGGCTTGATTTTATGTTTGAAAACTTCAGACCTATAAGCAACCTGCCATTTGTTGCCAAGTCTGCTGAGAAGGCAACGATCTCTCAGTTATCTATACATTGTGCTGAAAATGCCCCTTTTCCCGAGTATCAATCAGCGTATCGGAAAAATCACTCAACAGAAACAGCTTTACTAAAAGTCCAGAACGACATTCTCCTCAGTATGGATCGTCAGGAGGTTACGCTTCTTGTGCTTATCGACCTAAGTGCCGCATTTGATACTATCGACTATGTTATCTTACTGGAGACACTTGAAAAAGACTTTGGCGTAACTGGAAATGCCCTCAAATGGCTAACATCTTATTTTTCCGAGAGAAAACAAACAATTTTAATTAAAGACCATGAATCGGAAGTTTTCAATCTTCAATCGGGAGTTCCGCAGGGTAGCTGCCTTGGCCCTGTCCTCTTCATACTCTATGTGGCTGGGTTATTTAAGGTTATTGACAAATATCTTCCCAATGCACATACGTATGCAGATGACACCCAGATTTATCATTCGTTTCGGCCGGATACATCTTTATCGCAAGATGCTGCACTAAAGAGTATTGAAAACTGTGTTGCTGACATTCGTGCCTGGATGCTTTCTAACCGTCTCTTGATAAATGATTCCAAGACTGAATTTATTATCATCGGTTCAAAGCAGCAAATGTCAAAGATTAACATCAATGAAATTACAGTTGGTGAATCTACGATCGAGCCTGTGGAGGTGGTTCAAAGCCTCGGAATGTGGTTTGACTCACATATGTCGATGGATATTCACATCGGAAAAGTGTGTAGTAAGGCGTTTCGCAGCCTCTATAATATCCGGCAGATAAGGAAATTCCTTTCAGAAGATACAACAAAGATTTTGGTTCATGCTTTTGTTACTTCACACCTGGACTACTGTAACTCATTGTTTTATGGTCTCCCACAGTCTCAATATGATAGGTTACAAAGAGTTCTCAATGCTGCAGCACGTGTGGTCTGTCTAATCCCCAAATTCGATCATATTACTCCCGTTTTGATTGGCCTTCATTGGCTTCCTGTACGGTATCGGGTGATTTTCAAGATTTTGTTGCTGGTGTACAAGGCTCTTCATGCTAATGCACCGCCTTATATCTCAGACCTTCTGACACCTAAGCATATTGGTTGCTACAGCCTGCGCTCGAATGAGCAAAACTTGCTAATAGTTCCTAAAACAATGAGGAAAACGTTTGGCGACAGAGCTTTTGCCAAGGCTGGTCCATTTTTGTGGAATGAACTTCCCGCTGACATTCGTGAAGCGTCAACAGTGGAAACTTTTAAAAGCAGACTTAAGACCTTTCTTTTTAAAAAGGCATTTTATCTTTAAATATAATAGTAAATTTGAACTTCCCGCTGAAATTCGTGAGGCGTCAACAGTGGAAACTTTTAAAAGCAGACTTAAGACCTTTCTTTTTAAAAAAGCATTTTATCTTTAAATATAATAGTAAATTTGAACTACCCGCTGACATTCGTGAGGCGTCAACAGTGGAAACTTTTAAAAACAGACTTAAGACCTTCCTTTTTTAAAAAGGCATTTTATCTTTAAATATAATAGTAAATTTTAAACATGTATATATAGGTATCATCTCACACTTTATAACATTTTATTTGAATTTGTAATGATAGCGCTTTGGAATATTTATAGTTTTTAGCGCTTTATAAATTAATAAATTATTATTTATTATTATCAGGAGCGACTGCGAAACTGCAACTACAGGCTATTGGCCCTCTGGCAGAAATCGAATCTGTAGCTCTGTAATTCCAGTGCAGCGGTCTGGGAAAACAAATGCTCTGGAAATAGACGACATATAAATTCTCATGGTCAGTAATGGGTTGGTCTCAATTTTGGACTACACCTCCCCCCCCCCCCCACCAGGATGTTCAGTCTCAAATGCATGTGACTTGCCTATTCGTTGGAGAAACTTACCGTTTTGGAGAATGTCTCTGATAAAACAACATCTGTGTCACTCTTTCGAAAGTAAAATAATCTTGAGAACAGAGCGTATGCTGACCTAGAACAGAACAAACCCACATGTCAAATTAGAGGGGCAGGAATGCATTGAAACATAATTTTATTCTGTGCTGGCAAAGCTTGAAATCCTGTAATTATAATAGGTGAACATTCTTTTAATAAAAAAAACTGCAGAAAAAAACTTACTTTCCAATCATGACAAGAAACAAAAAAGTTAAACTTTTCTATTGTGACGTTTACAGTATGGCTGCCGATTGTCAGTGGTGCTCCAGGATTTTATTAGGGGGGGGGGCTTAATAATTTGTGAGTCTCAATACTAGGGGGGTGCTAGTAAAACAGTCACATAGTGCTTTCTAACAGAATAAAGTTCAGTGGATTTCATGAGTAGATGTGAGCAAGATATGCAACTCCGTCTGCTGACAATTATTCACCCTCCCCAATTTTTCATCGGATTTGAACATATCTAAAACTACATTCTGAAAAGCATTGGGCTCAATACTGGGTCACCAATAAATGTACTGTATATGGCCCGTGTATTAAATGAATACATTTTACTGTATAACTGCAGTACAACCTGCAAGCGAATGTTCTTGTTTTACTCCATCTACTTAACAATTCATGGAAATTATCAAGTGTTACATCTTCGCCAATACAATTTCTGGAAACCTGCAAAGATATAACAAGTACATATTTACATATCTATGCTAATCAGATATGTCGCAAGTATCGTCTTACTCGTATTGATCAAATAGGAAAAGTGTTCCCGCTGCAATAAAGAATACAGTTTTAAAAAAATGAAAACATTCGACAGCATAAATGTATTATACCATCTTCTACGGAACAATCGACCAGTATATCACAAGAATCAGTAAGATCGAGCAATAATTGCCAACAACCCAACCTGCCGGGTTACAAGCAAAGTAACCCCTCTCTAAATACAAACTGGGGCGGGATGTCCAGGAAATATTTTTCCACACAAGTTAACGAGGTATATGATGAAATAACTAAGTGGAGAAAAAATGTCTTCCTCGTACCTTCAAGGAAACATGGAAAGGCTTTTTACTTCAGAATTAACGTCTTGGCGCATTATCCCATACCTGTGTTAAAAGCGGCTTTCTGATTGGTTTAGAGCAGGTGAGCTTGTCGTCGAGCTCACCTGCTTTTTGCCGAACTCACCTGCTTTTCGCCCGAACTCACCCGCTAAACTGCTTACGTTGCAATAACAATAACAAATATGGCGGACAAGATTTAGCCGATAAACCTAAACTTTAAATTAAAGAACTTTTTTCGGTGACTAACATACCGAGACTGAAGAAAAACCAAAGAAAAAATGCAGTAAAGGTAATGTAGACGTAGATAAAGAAGTATTTTCTTGCCCAGTGATTTTTTGGCCGGGAAAATGTTCACAAAACATCGACGAATATATCGCGAAGAGCTACAAATGTGTGTATGGCTCGGTGTATGGGATAAAAACCAAACGTACTTGCAGGTTCGGTGAGTCCGGGATTGGACGCACCTCGGGTGGCTGGAAGTTTCCCGAACTCACCTCGCTTCGCTCGGTAAGTTCGGGAAACTTCCAGCCACCCTCGGTGCGTCCAATCCCGGACTCACCTCCCTGCAAGTACGTTTGTTATATGGCTATCTAAATTCAACTCCGACTCACCTTTATATCAGTGCACTGCATTGAAAGCTTTTATGATCCTTCCCAGCATCAGGGGTGAAACTAGCCCCTTTTAATTCGGGGGGTGTCTGCCAGAATTGCCCTGCAAAAGCCGATGATGCCCTGCAGCAAATTTTTATTTTTGGCCAGGTTGAAAAAAGAGAGGTTAAAAACTTTTTTCCGGACATTCAAAAAAAGAGTCGAAAACATTTTTTCGGACATAAACCAGTTAAATTAAAGGTCAAAAAATTTTTTCCGTACAAATTCGCGTTAAAACATGCGTGAAACCCGTATTTTTCGACCAACATCTGTAAAATTTAGGTCTAAAAATTCTATTCAATTCCCTCCGGAAGCCCTGTAAGTTACTTAATAACCTACATTCTATCATTTAAAATCTTTGATTGCCCTGCCAATCCAGATGATTCGCCCTGCCAATCCAAGTAATTCATACTTTAGGTGTCACCCTCCCCCATACCCTCCTCAAGTTTCGCCCCTGCCCAGCATTCTCCTCCAGAACAGTGGTTTCAAAACCTTTCATAGTAGATGTTGCGTTGGGAAAAGTAGGAGTTGCAACCGAAAGCCGAACTTCGCAACTTTGAGGATCTGATGGCATGCTCAGGGACCGCGGAACTTTGGGTTAGGGGGCTATAGCAAACGCCGAAGGCGTGAGTTTGTTAGAGGGTCCTGGGGCATGCTCCCCCGAGAAATTTTGAAATCTGAGACTTCCCAGAGCCCCGGAAATGCAATCAAATTCACTAGTTGCTGTTAAAAAGTTTCTTAATAAACGACTCTTAATCTAATATTACCCGTAATTTGTTTAATTCAACCAGAAATAGATTGAATACTTGGCTATATAAGTTATCAATATATTGTTAACTGATCTGAAAGAGTTCAGTATTCTTATTTTATAAAAATCACATATGTATGGAAGACAGGCTAAAACCAGCCTCGTTCCAAGTAAATCACTGAATTATTGCTTCCAGAAAATTTTGAACTTTTAGACTCTAGAAGATGCATTATCCAGCATTTGTTTTTGAGACACAAAAAAATATTTAAATGTCTAAAACACTGTTAAATGTATGTTCTTATAATTAATGCCTATTACAACAACGTCCAATAATAGCGATCACATCTCCGCTGGCTTTGTTTTTCATTTTTTCGCCATTTTGTTTTTGTTCTTGGAGACGAATGTGACATCTTACATAAAGTACAACTTGTTAATAACCGCTACCAATGTAGCGAAATTCAGAGGAAACTTTAAAATAAATCAACGTTTAGAAGAGAGGACGATATCGTAAGTGTTTTGCAAGCTGATGTTCCAAGGGAAAGTTCATGCAGCTATGCGTTTCCTCACCGAAGAAGGCCAGGGCAGTCTTCTCAACATCACCGATTATGTTTCAGATTAACTCAAGATGAAGCACCAAAGTCCTGCTGAAATTCTCAAAGAAAGCCTGTTATATGGTCCAATAAACCAGGTACCTGAAACATACTTTTCCATCGACGAAGACACCGTTCTTAGAGCAGCTATGAATACAAGAGGCAGCGCAGTGGCATCATGGCTTGACGCTGATCAGTTCAGACGCATTCTATCATCAATTGAAGAACTTTTCCAAAGAAGGGAAACATCTCTGAGAGGAAATAGCCTTATTTGCCAAAACAATCGCAACGACACCATCAGATCCTTCTATTCTGGAAACCTACGTCGCCAATCGTCTTATCTCTATCGATAAGAAGCCCGGAGTCCGGCCAATTGGAGTTGGCGAAGTTTTACGCCGAATTGTGGGAAAGGCTCTCTCCTGGAATCTCAAACATGACATTTGTACCATCCACAGTTCAACATACGATGGACTGGAAGAAAGGTGGCTTTGTTTCAATTCGTCACAATAAAATTCACGATCTCAAAGCAATAATGTTATCAAAAGTCTGCAAAGATGTTTCTATTGAACCCCTTTTACAACCATTGACAGGTTAACAAATCTTAACACTACCGGTACAGAACGGTAAACACCAATGATAATGCGAGGGTCGATGTGAAGGCAAGAGGATTCTGGAGAAGAGGGCAAACTGTATTTTTTATATAATGTTCGCGTCACACATGTAAATGCCCAATCTCACAGAAACCTCACGACACACCAAGTGCTAAAGAACGCCGAGCAAGAGAAGAAACGAGCATACAACGACCATATTATAGAAGTGGAAAATGGAACATTTACGCCACCAGCATTTGGGACAAATGGAGCAATGGGTGATGAATGCAAGAAATTCCATAAAGAATTAGCCCTTATAAACTCTCAAATAAGAGATCCAAGAATTACTCCTCTACAATGAACTGGATAAGGACACGATTAAATTTTAGTATTATACGCTCAGCCTTATTATGTCTTAGAGGTACAAGTTAGAGTAATTTTTTAAGCTCCTGTAACACAACATTATGAATTTGCTTGTGCAGAGGCGAACATGTTAAATGTCTGGGACCAGCTGTTTGAAACCTTGTATAGCTCAATCCAGCGTTAACAAAAACTTCAAAAGAAACTTTCCAACAGCTTTTTATAAACTTGACATTATTTTTCCGGAAATCTTGCCTGAATCAATAGAAGTTTTATTTTCTGAAGTATTAAAAAGTACAGACGTTCAATGAAGATAGTCTATGCCTATGGATTCAATGAAGATAGTCTATGCCTGATGGAATCATATCTAACTGAACGTTACCAAAAAGTAAAGATAGATGATTGTTTCTCAAGCTGGGAGAAAATTATAAACGGAGTTCCGCAAGGTTCAATTCTTGAGCCTATTCTCTTTAATATTTTCATGACTTTTTCTATACTATCAATAAAGCTAGTTCTCATTCGTATGCCGATGATACCCAGCTTCACTACTCAAACAAAGATCCTATTGTTGTTGTTAATACATTAAACGAAGAGTTGAAAGAAGCTAGTACCTGGTATTCAATTAACGGAATGAAAGCAAATCCTGATAAATTTCATGCAATGATGGGAAAATCTTCCAATTGTATAGATCATTGTTTTAACGTACGTAGACAACGTTGTTATCTCTCTGGAACATGATGTGGACTTGCTTGGTATAAATATTGACAATATACTAAAGTTTGATAAACACATAACTGGACTTAGTCGAAAAGTTAGTGCTCAACTGGCAGTTTTAAATCGATTTAAGAACATTCTGTCAACTGATGTAAAATTAAAGTTGTATAACGCCTTTATACTCACACATCTAAATTACTGCAACATTGTATGGAATCATTGTGGCGCCAGAAATCGCGATAAATTGGAAAGAGTTAATAAAAGAAGTTTATGGTTTGTAATCCAAGTGAGAATATATACATTTTAAGACCTAACCAGGAACGACTGCGAAAAATGCAGCACAAGGTCCTCTGGTAGGAATTGAACCTACGGCCCTGCAATTCCGGTGCAGCGCTCTAACCAACTGAGCTACAGAGGCCAGCTGTTAAGCTGTAACCGTAGGTTCATGTATATATAGGTAATCGGGTGTGCGGGTTGTTATAAGGTGGACTTCAATGAGGGATTCTTGCACTTCACTTGGTGGAATTAATTTACCTAACATTCTAATATTAATTCGACCAAGTGAAGTGCAAGAATCCCTCATTGAAGTTAATAAAAGAGCCTTGCGTTTTATTTTCAACGATAAAATCAGTCCTTAAGAATTGCTTTTAGAAAAAACTAAAACAGTTTCGCTTAACGATCGTCGTATTCAAGATATGCTTATACAAGTATACAAGTCCTTAAATGATGAAGCTCCAACGTATATCCGGGAACTGCTGTAGGACAGAGCGTACACGTCGCTCCATGGAGTACGTAAACTAAAACTGCCCAAAGTACGAACCAGAAAGTATGGTCTGAATTGCTTCATATATTGTGCACCAAAACAATGGAACAGTTTATCAGATATTGAAAGAACAGCTAAAAACTTGCAGTGGGGTGCTGGGTACTATTTTTCTGGGGAGGCCAGTCGGCTGGCAACTAATATGCGCCCCTATAATATTACCCTTGATAAACGAGGGCCGAAGGCACGAGCCTAGCGCCGCAGGTGCGAGGTTTGTCTAGGGGGGTCCGGGGGCATGTCCCCCAGAAAAATTTTTGAATTTAGAGTCTCTGAAATGGCATTTCCTGAACTTTGGGGGAAGATTTGACAGAAATCTGATGGTCAGGAAACGGCATTACAACGTGTCGAAATTTGAAAATTGGTTAGAATTTAGTAGTAGCACTTAAATTGGGCAATGCTAACTACTTACAGCAATTAATCTAATCCCAATTCTATTCTCTACTGATCTGAATACATTTACAATTTACAGCTCTTTTATACAATAACACACGAACCCCACGCATATGCATTTTAAGGTTTCCTTGCCTGGCTGCCAAAAGGGCGTGTTTCATCATTATCTCATTACTTACATTACTCATAATGTTTCTTGCGCAAACAACTAAATTGCGTACACAACTTTACATTATCATAACTTCAACTATCTAATTTGCGCCGCTCTCGTGATTCGTGAAGCATAATAAAGGGCATAATGTAAGGGTATAATACCAGCAAAAAAGGGCATAATTCCCGTGATCGCTTCGAAGCCTGGTCAATATTCCGGTAATGAGACATTGCGTGTGATCGCTGATCATGTTTCTATATGAACGAGTGATTTCGTGTGAGTCGTGAGGTAGCAAATACGGTTAGACAAAATAGTCTGCAATTTAATATACTCACTTTGTCGCATATGCGCTTAGTCTGTTTATAAGTCAATAAACACATCTTTCCTTGGCGGAATTAGTAACTATATTTTTTTGAATGCGTTTCTTCCTACCTACTTTCAAAATTCGGCGCGGGATCGGCGCCCCCTTTTCATTTTTGCGCCCCCCAAAAATTGCCAGCTGGATGGGCCGTGGCCCCCGGCCCCCCCTGCCAGCACGCCACTGAAAACTTGAATGTTGTTAAAACTGCTATTCGTAAAAAGACTTTAATTCTCAAAATAATTAACTTATCTTATTTCAATCTTTAATTTTAATATTTTACTAATCTTACTGATATTAAATTAACACTAGCATGATACATAGGGACAATTTGTAGTTCACATTTTTTATTTAGTAATTTGTTAATTATCTTCAGAGATACTAGCATATTTTTGCTAACTTAAATCCGAATTCAAATAAAGTTTCTATCTATATCTATCTATCTATTCAGAAATACACAAACCAAAACAGCAGGCTAAAATTTAATTATGGCTAACCCATTGAGTGGCAGCACTCTCCATTAGACAGAGTAAAATACTAAAGTAGGGCACATCAGGGTGCAATTGCCACTGACTAGGGTTAACCCTTTAAGTGGCATGTATATAATCACTTGGATTACAATCCCTAACATTCTAATATGCACCCTGAAGCACTCTACTTTAGTGTTTTACTCTCACTGTCTAACACCAGATGATTTTACTTGTCAAGTGGAGAGTGCTGCCATTCAATGGATTAACCAAATGCTTTGAACTACCAGCGCCAGAATACTGACAATCAAATCATATCTATATAACAACTATAGTGCTGTGCAAACTCAGGTTTACAGCTCTCGCTCCGGCTGCTTTACAGTTCAAACATTCAGCTCTGGTGGCATTGGGAACAAATTCTATATAACCAGATGAGGCCTAAAAATACCTGTGGTTCCGGTTTCCCAACCAACCCTATTTTTTTTCTGCGAACCCTATTATTTTTTTCGACGCAATTGACCATGGAACCCTATTTTCTCGGGGTGGTTGCGACTTGCAGACTGCTCATACAGCGTGCCAAAATGGTATCTGAGACAGTGACGGACTGATGGTGCTTTACTCATTTAATTCTCACAGTTGCTTTTCATGTGTTGTAAACGAAAGCAACAGCAGTATACAGTTAATTGTTAACATTTACCTGCTTCTTGAAATGTTTATAATATTTATTGTGGTGTCAGATCACTTTTACAGCCATTAGTTCAGGCTGTTTTTATGCTAACTGTAGAACCACATGATCCGATGGATGCATTGTATCTGTCTTCTAAAATATAATTAATCTGACAAATTATCAGCTAGAATTATTATGCATCTGAACAAACTATCAGCAGTTGTGTGCTGATTTAAGACGAACTATCCAACTTTGCCTAAATGCGTATGCAGACATTCCAACCACTGGAGGTAAAAATTAGGGAGACTGTTCAGTGAATTGAAATCTAGTTCTTCTGGGAAAAATAATAAAAATTAAGTCTTCTGAAATGGCGTTTCCTGCATTTAGGGTCGTTATAAGTGATCCTATAAATTGCCATAAAGCAACTTCAAAAAAGGTCAAAGACAGACTATTATGTTGCTAAAAACAGTATATTTATAATTTTGTTATGATATTTCCTGAATATTCTGAAAAATCGGGAGAATTTGATAAAAATCGGGAGAATTTGATAAAAATCGGGAGACCAGGAAATTGCATGAATTTTCAAGAGACTCCCGGTAAAATCGGGAGAGTTGGAACGTCTGTGTATGTAACACGCATACATAACACAAGTACATAATGCATCCTGTGTCCATTTCCATAATTAAGACATATAAACGGAACAACAACAAATTGCCTAAATTCGTTCATAGGCAATATGCATCTCTTCTTAATATTCATGTCGGGACTCTACTGAACCGACCTATGTCGGGACTCTTTTCTGGCCGACCTACCTACCCTAATTTTTTCACAATACGAAACCAGAAGCACAGGGTTTTTTTTAATCCAAGGCCTTATGGTGGATATTATTCGGCTCAGATTTGTCCCAATTAGGTAAGATGACATGATTCAGCATATCAACAAATGCGTTGCCATTATTTATAACCCTAATCCTTCGAAATTGTCACATTTCTTGTCATTCTGACTTTCCAGCCGGAGATTAGAGAAAGCACTGTAAGTCTGCAACACCATTCCGGCTGCAAACAGGATCAGCTCGGTCGTTTTTTGGACATTTTGTCTCAAAAGTTAAGTGATCATATTTTGGCAAGAAAAAAATACTTCAAATACTCGTAAGTGCGTAAAATATCCACGTAGTCTATACAATTCTTACCTCATTAATATCCTTATAGTTTAAATTTAGTAAAGTTTCCACGTTGTCAGACTGGCCACTCTTGTATGTTGTATCCTGGCCCATTCTTCGCAGCCACAGCACTGCCAAAGTGAAGACAAATACGAAACCAATAATAAGAACTGGCAGAGGAAATCTAGTTGAAATACGCATCATTAATTTCTCGCACATAATATAAACATTTTATAATTTAATTAAAAACAAAAATTGAGATTTTTATTTAATACAAGACATTTTTTTAAAAATTTGAACATTCTGAAAAGTGCGAGCCTGCGATTCCTGTCATGAGTACTTTATGCAATATAAACTGTAATTGGAGGAGTTTGGGAGTATGAATTTTATACATTTATTCGACCTAACAGGAACAGTTGCGAAAAATACAACTATAGGCCGTCTGGCAGAAATTAAACCTTGCGGCCTTGCAACTCCGGTGCAGCGCTCTAACAAACTGAGCTACGGAGACGGATCAACTGGCGAGCTCTAACCACAAGTTCATGTATATCAGGATATATATATATATATATATATCGAGGGGGGGGGGGGCAAAAGTATTTTCGTGACTCGTGATTAGCAATTATTCGTGTTTCGTGATTCGTGATTTAAAGAAATACCATTCAGTGAATCGTGATTAATATGCGTGCCGTGAATCGTGAAGAGCTAAAAGGCTAGCTATGGTCTTGAATTTACAAATATTTTATCCATTTTACCCTAACTTGCGAATGTTTACGTTTAAAACTCGGCCCAAATGTAATATTCAGGAAAAAATTTATAAATTTGCTTCCCGCGGTTGTCTTAGTTCTTGAGGTTTCTTCGTTTCATCGGTAAGCGTCGTTATCGTATACTTTCGTACCTCTTCGTAAACTTTGAACCATCGTACGATGCTCGTAATGCCTGGCAATGATTTCCATTGTCCTTTAAACGGCTCTAATGTTAAAGTCAGTATGTGTTAAATGGTTTAAGGTTTTGTTACGCTTCTGTGTTTCTAAAAATCGTGGAAATGAAATTTTGTTTTTCGTGACTCGTGAAATCGAAAAATGATCTTCGTGATTTCGTGACGAGATCCCCCCTCCCCCCCCTATATATATATATATATATATATATATATATATATATATATATATATATATATATATATATATATATATATATATATATATATATATATTTTTAACATTTTTCGAATTATTCATCATATATATATATATATATATATATATATATATAAAGCTTCAAATAGAAAATAAATTTTATTAAACTTCAAATGAATAAATACATGTTGTAAAGATAAAGATACGTTTCGGGGCGCAGCCCCTTCGTCAGAAACGAGATAAGTTCAAATCCATGTCCTTAAATACCTTTGGCCTAATCCAAATTAACATACACTAATAATATATATAGACTTGCATTAATATTCCTCCCTCAAATTTAATCCCAGTGGTACATATGTATTCAATTTTTCAATCCAAAAACTTTCCCTCTCTGTAGGTTTATTAACATCCGTGATATCAATAATCTGTGCTTTAAAATCATTAAGACCCGAATGGCCCTCCTCAAAAAAATGTTCATACAAATGTTGACCACATAAACCTCTTTGGCCCTTAGAAAATCTGTTAAGCGAACTCTTTGGTTATTAAATCTAAGACGAAATGACGTTACCGTATTGCCCACGTATTGTTTATTACATTTTCCGCAAGTAATTAAATAAACCACCCCCTGAGAGTTACAATCAAAGTGATGGTTAATGTGAAACGTGCGCCATTGTACTGTACTTTGAAAAGTATCCGCTACCACGATGGAATCACAAACCTTGCACTTTTTCCCCCCACATTTAACCATCCCTCTGAGCCGCTGAGCTCACAATCTGTGATGTCACGTTTACGCATAAAAAGATTGACAAGTGCGTTTGGAGCCAATTGATTTGCTTTTGACTTGGTTCGTTGAGACTCAAGAGTTTCCCACCCTAAGGCAGAAATTGCTTCCAATCCAGGGGTATCATTATTTATACCCATTACTATCCTTGCAGTTCTATTCTGAAGTTTTTGAAGTCGAGTTGAAATCGAGTTTCTTATGGAATAAAAACAAATTCAAACACACGCTTTATTTACTTTAATATAACGTTGTAATTAATGCCTTAATTTACATAATTTGATGGTTAATTTAAAAACGTTTTTCAATGAACTCTACTGCGTCGACTTTCTCATAAACCAACATGACCGCATCTTGGTAGAACATGTTTGTATACTGAGAACAAATTTCTTTCATTATTTCCTGCATTTTCTCAAAATTTTTGTCCAGGACAACAATGTCGAAGGAATCTTCCTTTTGGCCTTTCCACACTCCCGTAGTCTCAACAATCTTAAAAGCGACGATTTGTTTCATCACCACATTCTGGACAAAAACGTCGATATCTGTCTGCAGGATTTTTGACCCCTGTTTCGATTTTCCATACATTTTCCCAAACGATGCGGTGAACGAGTACCATTGGCTCGTCATTGCTGTGCATGGTACAATTGCTGTGCATAACACAATTGCGAAAATGAACACGCGAGATAACGACGTCATTGCAATATTACCAAGGCAAATCCAAATGTAGCTTCACACTAAAAATTGAAAACACAGGTTTTTTGGTTTCAGTTTTTGTGACACAACTCTTATAAGATCGTTTCTGATAAACACAACGTTTCGCCGCCTTGTGGCTCTTTTCCACTCATCGCAAAAACAGCTCGCAGCGAGCTTGCGAGTTCTCGCATTGCTTGCAAATCGGCGCCGTTTGCTCTTACTTTATTTAAGACGACGTACGTAGGAGAAGACGTCTCAAGTATGTAAAACGTTTTTGGGTTCGCCCCAAACGAATTTCATTGGCTACTGGTCTTCTTTGTTCGCGCGATCAGAAAATATTGTTCTGCTTCTTCCGCAGTGTTTACAACGGCCAGTTACAGCTCTGTATGTATCTCCTCTGTGTGCGGTATGATTCGTTGAAGCCGGCGCGCGGAAAATCAGTTTTCAAAAGGACTAAGGAGTAAGGAGAGTTTCAAGGAGTGAAAAGAATTCGGTCAAAGGTTTGTTTTGGAGCAAACATTTGCAAGAAAAACACTTTTTTCATGGGAATACTGCAATGATTGGGATTCAAACCAAGTTTTCCGATTAGTTCCGACTGTTTTACATCTCTCTGCAGCAAAAAGTGAGGAGTTTTTGCTTTGGTATTTAAAAAAAAAATGACGAAAGTTTGGATGTTATTTTTGTCATCGCTCTTCTTGTTGGCCACTATGAGCACTTTGAATATGGCAGTATTTTTGTCAATTTTTAAATGCTTTTTTCGACCTTAAAACGTTCAATCGTTTTGAAACTTCACATGCAGATGTATTTTGCATGGGTTTAAATAATTCCTGAGATATAACGTCTTAGTTTTATCTTAAACTTTCAAAAACTCAGAAAAAGCAGCCTAAAGGTCATAGAATGAAAATTGTATATATGGACCTTTATTGGAATTAGAATGGATTTTGGTTATCCATAATAGTTGTATATTTCCATAGTATGCATGGTATAGCATGGAAGTAGTATGGATATACTATGGATTTTGTGGCAAAATTGGATATTTCGTAGTATGGATTTCACTTTTTTTTTTCGAGTGAAATGCGCGGTTTCTCCGACCATTCATGCTTATGGTCGTGTTTTTTCGTATTTTTTTTTGCTAATTCGTGATTTGTTTGCTTTGCGAATATTAAATTCGTTTATCATACTACTGATATAAATTAAATTTGGTGGTATAACTAATATTTGGGGGCAAGTTAAGTATTCAATTTTCCGTCCTGAAAAGCAAATTCTTTGAATTTGTAAGGTATACACATAATGCCCTAACAAGATCAAAAATTACTGATCTAAGGCCCGTTTCATACGCCGGTCAAATTTCGGTCGCGTCGAATGCAATTCAAACAATAGATAACGAAGCTTAATGACAGAGGTTTATCATCTCATTATATCTATTGTCTTAATTGCATTCGACGCGACCAAAATTCGACGTATAAAACGGGCCTAAAGCTTCGCAAAGTTACTAATGAGTTTGGGGAATCACAGATATCTTATAGACCTTATAGTGTGGGGCAATGTTATTTTTTAACTCCCTCCAAAATTATTTTAAAACATATCCAAGACAGCTCACTCACAAAATTTAGAATTCTCTTTAAGCTACTTTATCTTGAACAAAATAATAGTGTCTAAAGGCCCTGTCACACTATTGCGTATGAGAGAAACGTATGAGAAGCGTATGAAAATTAATTAATGAAATAATTTTCGTATACGCACAAAAATCCTTTGAAATGCCAGCGTATGAGTACCGTACATCTGGCGTACCTCTAGCGTATTCAGCGTGTGCCTAGAGTATGCTTATCGTATAAAGCATACGTTCGATACGCACAAAAATTTTGAACATGCTTAAAAAAAATTTTCTGCCTTGCCGCGTATACGCCAGCGTATGCCACCGTATGCGACCGTGCTTGAAACGTATACAACATATGCCTGACGTACCCCTAGCGTATGTCAGCGTATACGGCGTATGAGTGATATTTTTCATACGCTGGCATACGCTAGTACGATACGCAATAGTGTGACAGGGCCTTTACACCTAGCAAGATTTTGCCTGTAAAACTTGTAAATACGAATTTACCAGTGATTTGCAATTGTAATTGTAAATGAACAAACTAAGACTGAATTTGTAACTATAATATTGTATATACATATATTCTACCTATATGAAAGCCCCAACAGAACATTGCATGTATATCCAACCTGTGGTTCGTAATGCAAACGTGGCAGTGCAGTCTGCCAGTGAGCGGGAGAAGTTCGATTGCATAATTTTAAAACTTAATTAAGAAAAAAGAAGTGTGAAAAGTTAGCAGCATCTCAAAAATAGGAGCATCGGTAGGCGCATCTCAAAAATTTAAACATTTAAAATTTTCATTCAAATACCTTAGGTACTTGCGAAAATGCATGGTTAAGCGCTTATAGTCCATGAACTCGAGAAATCAAAAAAGTATTTATCTTTCATACATACAGTACAATATCCAATTCCTTTTTTACGTTTCTGTATGTTGTGCCATGTTGGCAAACGTAACACATTTCCTTGGTTTTACTAACTTACAGGAGTAAATTCTTTTTGCACAGCTGATTTTTCGTTCAATTGTAATTTCGTTCACCTGCATGTATGCCCCTTGGCGAACTCTAATAGCAGGAAAATTTAATTGTACAACCATATATCACGGAATTTTAACTCACCTGAACAAATTTGATCTTGTCAATCTTAATCGCGTAGGGATAATGAAAACACAAAAATAAAATTTCGTATTTCAATCCTTAAACCGTCAGTTCTGACATACAATGAATGGAACCACCCTGACTGGATGTAACGCTTTGTTGGAAATTTTGCTGGTTTACCAAGGGCTCTAACAAACATGTAACAAATTTTTCGTTACGAGCACCTCTCTAACACTGTTACCTCTTAAAAGTAACGTCTGATCGTTGTAATCTCTATGAAACGGACACCTCTCTCTAATACGGACACTTTGCTCTTATAGTCATATCATTAATTTAGCCAAGACCTTCAATATTGTTAGATTTTACTCTTTACAGACATTTATTGACCTTCGATGAATGGAACCACCCTGTCTGGATGTTACGCCCTGTTGGAAATTTTGCAGGTGTGTAACAAACATGTCACATATTTCGTCTTACGGACACTTCTCTAATACGAACACCTCTCTAATAAGGACACCCCTCTTAACATTTACAAAAGAGTTTTAATAGAAACTTCCAATAGTTGTGACCTCTATGAAAGGTATACCTCTCTAATAGGATATTTTGCCGTTATGGTTAGATCATTCAGCCAAGATCTTTAATATTGTTAGATAAAATGTAGATATATATGAAATTTCAACTCATCCGATGTTGATTTTGCCAATCCTTTTCTTAATTGTATGAGATAATAATATAAGAAAATAAATGTCGGTTTTTTATCCTTTTAACTGTACGTTTCTGAATGGAACCACCCTATCTGGAAGTTACGCTTTGTTGAAAATTTTGCAGGTTTGGGACAAACATATTATGAACTAATTCTCCCTACGGACACCTCTCTAATACGAACAACTCTCTAATAGAACAACTATCTAATACGAACAACTCTCTAGTACGAGCACCTCTCTAATGCAAATACCTCTGAAATACTGGCACCTCTCTAATATGAATAGTTTCTTATGTCCTGACAAAATTCTAATATATTTCTCTAAAGTAGGCGCTATAACAAGGCCGGAGCTTTTCTAAAATTGGCAGCAGCACTAAATTTTGTCTCCAAAGAAACTAGATATGAGTTAAATATTTTTTACGTGAACAATCCCGTGATCAGGTGATGTCAATTTATGCATGCGATACAATTCTTTGTTTGCAGTTGGAAAAACATTAACACTGTATTTACTTAATATTTTGCGAATGGCTGCGTTGTACTTAGTTTCGTTTCGAAACAGTAATTGGCATATAATATATAACTGATATGTTCAATGTATATGTTCAACTCACCTGAATATGTTGATCTTGTCAATCCTTCTCTTAGTTGTATGAGATAATGAAAGCACAAAAGGAAATGTCAGTTTTTTTAATCTTGATCGTCAGGTTTTGACCTGCGATGAATGAAACCACCCTGTCTGGATGTTACGCCTTGCTGGAAATTTTGCAGGTGTGTAGCAAACATGTCACATATTTCCTCCTACGGACACTTCTCTAATACGAACACCTCTCTAATAAGGACACACCTCTTAACATTTACAGTAGAGTTTTAATAGAAACGTCCAATAGTTGTGACCTCTATGAAAGGTATACCTCTCTAATAGGATATTTTGCGGTTATGGTTAGATCATTCAGCCATGATCTTTAATATTGTTAGATAAAATGTAGATATATATGAAATTTCAACTTATCCGATGTTGATTTTGCCAATCCTTTTCTTAATTGTATGAGATAATAATATACGAAAATAAATGTCGGTTTTTTATCCTTTTAACTGTACGTTTCTGAATGGAACCACCCTATCTGGAAGTTACGCTTTGTTGAAAATTTTGCAGGTTTGGGACAAACATATTATGAACTAATTCTCCCTACGGACACCTCTCTAATACGAACAACTCTCTAATAGAACAACTATCTAATACGAACAACTCTCTAGTACGAGCACCTCTCTAATGCAAATACCTCTGAAATACTGGCACCTCTCTAATATGAATAGTTTCTTATGTCCTGACAAAATTCTAATATATTTCTCTAAAGTAGGCGCTATAACAAGGCCGGAGCTTTTCTAAAATTGGCAACAGCACTAAATTTCGTCTCCAAAGAAACTAGATATGAGTTAAATATTTTTTACGTGAACAATCCCGTGATCAGGTGATGTCAATTTATGCATGCGATACAATTCTTTGTTTGCAGTTGGAAAAACATTAACACTGTATTTACTTAATATTTTGCGAATGGTTGCGTTGTACTTAGTTTCGTTTCGAAACAGTAATTGGCATATAATATATAACTGATATGTTCAATGTATATGTTCAACTCACCTGAATATGTTGATCTTGTCAATCCTTCTCTTAGTTGTATGAGATAATGAAAGCACAAAAGGAAATGTCAGTTTTTTTAATCTTGATCGTCAGGTTTTGACCTGCGATGAATGAAACCACCCTGTCTGGATGTTACGCCTTGCTGGAAATTTTGCAGGTGTGTAGCAAACATGTCACATATTTCCTCCTACGGACACTTCTCTAATACGAACACCTCTCTAATAAGGACACACCTCTTAACATTTACAGTAGAGTTTTAATAGAAACGTCCAATAGTTGTGACCTCTATGAAAGGTATACCTCTCTAATAGGATATTTTGCGGTTATGGTTAGATCATTCAGCCATGATCTTTAATATTGTTAGATAAAATGTAGATATATATGAAATTTCAACTTATCCGATGTTGATTTTGCCAATCCTTTTCTTAATTGTATGAGATAATAATATACGAAAATAAATGTCGGTTTTTTATCCTTTTAACTGTACGTTTCTGAATGGAACCACCCTATCTGGAAGTTACGCTTTGTTGAAAATTTTGCAGGTTTGGGACAAACATATTATGAACTAATTCTCCCTACGGACACCTCTCTAATACGAACAACTCTCTAATAGAACAACTATCTAATACGAACAACTCTCTAGTACGAGCACCTCTCTAATGCAAATACCTCTGAAATACTGGCACCTCTCTAATATGAATAGTTTCTTATGTCCTGACAAAATTCTAATATATTTCTCTAAAGTAGGCGCTATAACAAGGCCGGAGCTTTTCTAAAATTGGCAGCGGCACTAAATTTCGTCTCCAAAGAAACTATATATGAGTTAAATATTTTTTACGTGAACAATCTCGTGATCTGGTGATGTCAGTTTATACATGCGATACAATTCTTTGTTTGCAGTTGGAAAAACATTAACACTGTATTTACTTAATATTTTGCGAATGGTTGCGTTGTACTTAGTTTCGTTTCGAAACAGTAATTGGCATATAATATATAACTGATATGTTCAATGTATATGTTCAACTCACCTGAATATGTTGATCTTGTCAATCCTTCTCTTAGTTGTATGAGATAATGAAAGCACAAAAGGAAATGTCAGTTTTTTTAATCTTGATCGTCAGGTTTTGACCTGCGATGAATGAAACCACCCTGTCTGGATGTTACGCCTTGCTGGAAATTTTGCAGGTGTGTAGCAAACATGTCACATATTTCCTCCTACGGACACTTCTCTAATACGAACACCTCTCTAATAAGGACACACCTCTTAACATTTACAGTAGAGTTTTAATAGAAACGTCCAATAGTTGTGACCTCTATGAAAGGTATACCTCTCTAATAGGATATTTTGCGGTTATGGTTAGATCATTCAGCCATGATCTTTAATATTGTTAGATAAAATGTAGATATATATGAAATTTCAACTTATCCGATGTTGATTTTGCCAATCCTTTTCTTAATTGTATGAGATAATAATATACGAAAATAAATGTCGGTTTTTTATCCTTTTAACTGTACGTTTCTGAATGGAACCACCCTATCTGGAAGTTACGCTTTGTTGAAAATTTTGCAGGTTTGGGACAAACATATTATGAACTAATTCTCCCTACGGACACCTCTCTAATACGAACAACTCTCTAATAGAACAACTATCTAATACGAACAACTCTCTAGTACGAGCACCTCTCTAATGCAAATACCTCTGAAATACTGGCACCTCTCTAATATGAATAGTTTCTTATGTCCTGACAAAATTCTAATATATTTCTCTAAAGTAGGCGCTATAACAAGGCCGGAGCTTTTCTAAAATTGGCAACGGCACTAAATTTCGTCTCCAAAGAAACTATATATGAGTTAAATATTTTTTACGTGAACAATCTCGTGATCTGGTGATGTCAGTTTATACATGCGATACAATTCTTTGTTTGCAGTTGGAAAAACATTAACACTGTATTTACTTAATATTTTGTGAATGACTGCGTTGTACTTAGTTTCGTTTCGAAACAGTAATTGGCATATGATATATAATTGATAAGTACAATTTATAGTATAGTATCTTAATTAACATAGGCACTAAACTGTGTCTCCTGGTTTTATAGGTACTGAATACTTAAACTTCACAGCAGAGCTTTTAACGTGACGTCCGATTGTTGTGATCTCTATTATACACGTACGTCACTCTAATTCGGATATTTTGTCCTTATAGCGACATCATTCAGTAAAGATCTTGAATATTGTTAGATTTGATGTTTAGATTTTTGGAATTTCAACTCACCTGAATATGTTGAACTTGTCAATCCTTCTCTTAGTTGTATGAGATAATGAAAGCATAAATGGAAATGTCAGTTTTTTAATCTTGATCGTCATGTTTTGACCTGCGATGAATGGAACCACCCTCTCTGGATGTTACGCCTTGCTGGAAATTTTGCAGGTGTGTAACAAACATGTCACATATTTCTTCCTACGGACACTTCTCTAATACGAACACCTCTCTAATAAGGACACCCCTCTTAACATTTACAGAAGAGTTTTAATAGAAACGTCCAATAGTTGTGACCTCTATGAAAGGTATACCTCTCTAATAGGATATTTTGCCGTTATGGTTAGATTATTCAGCCAAGATCTTGAATATTGTTAGATAAAATGTTGAGATATATGGAATTTCAACTCATCCGATGTTAACTTTGCCAATCCTTTTCTTAATTGTATGAGATAATGATATACGAAAATAAATGTCGGTTTTTTATCCTTTTAATTGTACGTTTCTGAATGGAACCACCCTATCTGGAAGTTACGCTTTGTTGGAAATTTTGCAGATTTGTGACAAACATATTATGAACCAATTCTCCCTACAGACACCTCTCTAATACGAACAACTCTCTAATACGAACAACTATGTGATACGAACAACTATCTAATACGAACAACTCTCTAATACGGGCACCTCTCTAATGCGAAAACCTCTGAAATACGGGCACCTCTCTAATATGAATAGTTTCTTATGTCCTGACAAAATTCTAACATATTTCTTAAAAGTAGGCGCTATAACAACTAAATTTCGTCTCCCAAAGAAACTACATATGAGTTAAATATTTTTTACGTGAACAATCCCGTGATCTGGTGATGTCAGTTTATACATGCGATACAATTCTTTGTTTGCAGTTGGAAAAACATTAACACTGTATTTACTTAATATTTTGCGAATGACTGCGTTGTACTTCGTTTCGTTCCGAAACAATAATTGGCAAATATAACTGCATGATATGTACAATATAGAGTATAGTATCTTAATTAACATAGTCTCTAAACTGTGTCTCCCGGTTTTAGGTACTGAATACTTAAACTTTACATGCGGCGGAGCCTTTAACGTGACGTCCAATCGTTGTGACCTCTATATGAAACGTACGTCTCTCTAATACGGATATTTTGTCTTTATATCATTCAGCAAAGATCTTGAATATTATTAGATTAGATGTTGAGATAAATGGAATTTCAACTCACCTGAATATGTTGAACTTGTCAATCTTTCTCTTAATTGTATATGAGATAATGAAAGCGCAAAAGAAATGTCAGTTTTTAAATCTTTAAATCGTCGGTTTCTGACATACGATGAATGGAACCACCCTATCTGGATGTTATGCTTTGCTGGAAATTTTGCAGGTTTGTAACAAACATATTACGAACTTCTCCCCACGGACACCTCTCTAATATACGGACACTTCTAAATCTCAGCGGTATGATAAAACGTGTCTAAAATGCATGAAATAGAATATTTCTAAGCCTGGAGTTACTGACTGAAGACTCCAAAACTCCTTTGCTATACCTCCAGCAAAAAATGATGTGCAGGCATGAACCCGGCTATAACTGCGTGGTTTTCTGATTAACTATATCAACCAATTCAAATTAGTATTTTACTTATTTCCACGTGACATTGCAGTTTATGCTTTTACATAAGATTTAATTTCATAGTTGAAGAACATACATAATGTTTTTAGAGGAAAAATACTTTCGCTCTCTCATAAAAGAGCAAGACCGAGTCTTGGGCAAACTTTGTTTTGTACAGAAGACAAATGTCTTGCATTTTTTTCATCATTTCCGAAAAGTTGTCGCTGAGGACAAAAATATCGAAGGAATCTTCCGTTTGACCTTTCCACACTCCCTCGGTCTCGACCAACTTAAAAGCGTCGATTTGTGGCATCACTTTGTTTCGGATAAAATTGTCGATGTCTTTCTGCAAGATTGTCGTATTTCCGGACATTTTCCCAAACGATGCAGTGAACGAGTACCATAGCTTGGTATGCTTTCTGCCCTTGGACGGTGAGGAGTGCCCACTGCTGTGCGCGGTTGTTGCGCACAGTACAAATGCAAGAATAAACACTCGAGATGACGATGCCATTGCGATATTACCAAGGCAAATCCAAATGTATTTTCACGCTAAAAATGGGGAAAAAATCAAACTCAATGTTCTAATGAGAATCGGGGAACTATTTAAATACAGCAATGTAGCCAGGGAATTTACATGCACAGTTTTCAAATTACGGCAGAAACGTCTTAATTTACACTTTAAGTATTAGCTGTTTAAAATATGACATACTTTAAAACAAAGTGCATATATAGTTGTTATTACAGCATATACTTGGATGGTTGATGAATATATGTAAAATATCGATCACTGTGTATTTTTCAGTATCTCGCTCTCTACTATGTAGAGGGTGGGAAAGGGGGGGTATGGATCACGTTTCACAACGAAAAAAAGCCGTTTCACGATTCACGTGTCTTAAAAAAGCAATTTCACGGAAAACTAGATTCTAATAAAATAATATAATAATAATAGGTTTATTAAGAGTATGTTTAATGCATGGTACAGTATCTACGCTTTAAGTTCTCTCACTTCTCTACCTGTCAGTTAAAAACTACATCATAACTTACAAGTTTGAGTGACGAGCATGTACGACGACCTCCGAAAGGCCTCCGAAGTTTTTACTCTTGTGCAATCGAATGAGATCATATAAATTGATTATCGCGTATCATGTCTATTATGACTATTATAAAATAGATCGAAATAAACAAAGCAAAATCACAGTTCACGAAACAGACATCCTTAATTCTCATTTCACGGAGCATTTTTATCGACAATCACGCCTCGCGGCTGTAGAATAAATCACATTTCACGACACTAAAATAAGCATTTCACATTTCACGCGAACAAATGTTGACCATTCACGGCTCACGAAAATACCCTTTCCCACCCTCTATATAATAAATGCTGGTACATAAATTATTTAATGGCAGTTCTATATTGTGGCTATAAAGCCTGAGTGGTTTCCATGCATGTGGTCGTAATGTCGTAAAAATCACGATCTTTCTCAATGGTCAGTTTGTAATAGTTTATACCTGTAAACCACATATAAATCATAAGTATTCTCTATATAGTTATAATCACTCCGCGTATTTTCAGTTCTAAAATGTTGTATTTCGGCTGATGAGTAAGATCGTGTGACTCAATCATTACGACCGTTACGACCATATGGAAACCAGACTTAAGTGAAACACAAATAACGGTTGAACATTTGAATACTTTGATTATTGATACATGCATATTTTTTATAATTCTTCCAGTCTATACTAGCTACATGTGACTATTTAAGTACAATCTATCTCGACGCAAAACCCATCATTTGGATGCGCAGGCAAAACTCCGAATTGGCTTATAATAAAAAAAAAGGATTTGCATTTATCGACTATACGATTCATCACATATGTGGGATATTTTGAATGATCTACTCTGAAAAATGTTACACGCATATATAGTCTCTTTAGTCAGGTGTTGAATTAGATGTTGTAAAAAACAAGCAGCTGAAAAAACTCGGCAAAAGCTGCGCATGCGGGTCATTATCTCGAGTGTTAATTTTGGGCAGTCTTCTTTACAGTTTTTAAAAGGTTTTACATTGATCAAAAAATTAGCCAATTCAGAGTCTCAACCACGCATCCAAAACACGCGTTCTGTATGTAGCTGAGATTTGAAGCGTTAAAATGTGCATGTCAAAATATTCATATTGTATTTCACCAATATATAGAACTGCATTAAATAATTTTCGCGGCCAGCATATTTTGTCTTCCGTGCATTAAGCCGAAAAATTAAGAAAGGTAAGCTTATATTTTCCAATTTAAAGCCAACCAATCGTGCGAAATCTCAAAGTACAGCAGACACATATCCTTCAATGACCAAATAATATATACTAGTTACATCCTGAAAAAAATGTTCATGCACTGCTTAATTAAACACTGGAAGCCCACATTCGATACATTGTAGAGTGCTTACCAATTTTGCGTTGACTGAGGTTCGAATTCTTGAGTCGACGAACAATTTGTACTGAACGCTATATGCCTGTGCAGTTTTTTTTGTTAAGTTTGTTGTTTCAGTTTTACTTAAATATTGTTTCAAGTTCATGAATAATTTAAAATTCAGCCTGCGCTGATTGAATATAAACGCTACTTTTTATAATTGATTTTTCATTGAAGTATTAATTAATCATAAGTGCATGCTTCCAGTGAACCACTCAAGCACGCCATTAATTCAGATCACGCATATGTTATCTTAATCGATATTCTCACTGGTTGAATTAATGTTACTATGCTATTCGGATTGTTTAGCAATGACGTTAGTTACAAATTTTGAATAGGATATAATCTCAAACGGTCGGTACCAGTGGGTACATGCAGCTGCATGCGCGTAGTCAGGGAGCTACAGGTAAAGTTTACTTACCTTCTCGAGGCAAATCTATTTTGCTCCCAAATTGTCGGTTGGATGTCCAACCATATCCAACATAATAATATACACTTAATGTCTGCTCCCGAGGGAAATAGTTAGTTTTGTTTTCCCGAGAATCTCAATGTTTCCCGAGACGAAGTCGAGGGAAACATTAAGATTCGAGGGAAAACAAAACTATTTCCCGAGGGAACAGGCATTAAGTGTTTTGTTATATAGCGACGAACAAAAATCAACTTCAACAACATTCATACAACAATTGTATTTCGTGACAAAAACTCTATAGTGTAAACGAGTTTGAAATTAAAAGAACCTACTTAAACGGTTTCAGCAGTATATCCTGTTGCCTGTTGTGTTTTTTTCTTCTCTTTTATATTCTTTATTTGAACACAAACTTGTAAAATCGTAGTTTCTAATCATCTGAGTTGTGCCTCCATTTTGTTTATTTATGTACGTGGCCTGTCGGGGAGGGCAACAATTTTTCACTTGTTGCCCGGCGGGAAACATTGCATTTATCTGAAGTCACGTGACCACAAATCAGCCAATCACGTTTGCTGTTCACGCTAGCTATATAACAATTCTGGATGTTGTCCGGCCCAATTTTTCTTAATTCAACATAATTTGGGTCTGAAATCAAACTTGTGATTACAAAACTCCCGCTTCGCGGTCGTGCGATTTTGTAATCGCGCGTTTGATTTCAGACCAAATTGGACTCCACTCAGTGCAATTACCATTATTAACCACCCAGTCCGGAGAAAACCCAGTGGCGTAACGGTCATTAGGTACAGTTAGTTCAAAATCTAAGGGACAGTTAGTTAGGGGCCCCATCAGCCACGGTCTATCGCCTATATAAAATTAGAAAACGTAAAAAATGCAAAATTAATAATGCTAAATAATAAAGTCTCCATCGACTCAATCGACAACGGTAGCTGATTTTTTTATTCCATTTCAAATAAAACAAAAGTTATTCTTATTAGAAGTTAGTACATGTGTTGGAGACTGTTGTTGTTATTGTGGGATTTTCCAGAGCATTCAATAATATTCAATGTAAATATAACATCTCAGTCAAACAATGACAACAGTCAACAGGGGCCCCCTCTTCTCCGTTACGCCACTGAGAATAGCCACGACTTTCGGCAGGGTTTTGACTGACTCTCTTCCGTCGCTTGAGTCCGTATAGCCATAGGCGTAGCGAGAATCGACCGGCCACGATCTCAGAGGTGAGCGAGACGCTTGCTCTGATGACTGCGACTATAGGAGTATAGGTAAAAAGAGGAAAAGCTAAATACAGTCTGCCCCGGAACTTCTCGTTGTGATTTTACATTCCAGCCTTCCCACCAATAAATAAAACTTGCTTTAACACGCTAAAATGTCAATATTGGGAAATATATTTCGAAATACATATTTGACTCTCTTACATCCTTATATACACATCTGCTCGCTTAGTCTGCGCACAGACTGTCCCTTCCCCCCGTGGTGTAATCCCGTGGGGGAGCGGGATGCAGTCTGCGAGCAGACTACTGCTCGCTATGCCTGTGCAGTTTTACGTTAAGATGTTGATTCAACTTTACTTAAATATTGTTTCAAATTAATGAAAGATTTATTGTCGATTTCATATCACTTTTCAAAGCGCGGTTCCCAAGTTTGTTGTCAACTTGCCAATTACGTTTCCAAATTCGGAAGATGGGCGGGAACTTCGCAACGAAGTTCACAAGTTCAATTCAAAGTTCGAAATTCGATTGTAAACAAATGTAAAAATTTCATTTATAAATTTATTTAAAAAGGCATTTTTCGTCTAATTGGGAGACCACTGGACCAATATTTTACTGCAGTAATATGTGCATAGGGCCTTATACAGTAATTTCAACTCCAACTACGAACATTTATTTACAATCAAAGTTCGAACTTTGAAATGAACTAGCGAACTTTGTTGCGAAGTTCACGCTCAATTTCCGAACTTGACAACATAATTGGCAAGTTCGCAACGAACTTGGGAACAGCGTGTTGAAAAGTTACCTGAAATCGATAATAAAAATTCAGTCTGTGCCAGCTGATTGGATATAAACGCTACTTTTTATAATTGATATTTTATGTACTACTTAAAACATGAGCAGCAGTGTTTTATCAGATATAAAGATACGAGGCGAAGCCGAGTATCTTGACTTTAGGTCTGATAAAACACGCACTGCGAATGTTTTAAATTACTTAAAAAACAATCGATCTAGTAAGTTCATTGGCGAAGTAATTTTCAAAAAATACGTTGTGTAAGTCGAGAAAATCAAAGTTAAAGTTTATTAAATCACGGGAAATCTCGGCATATAAAGATACGATACGCTTATGATTTTTCTTTGTATTTTCCTCATGAATTATTAATGTTTTTTGAATAAGTATTAATTAATCAGAAGTGCTTCAGGTGAACCACTCAAGCGCTTCCGCTAGACCATGCATATGTTGTCTTAATCGATTTTCTCACTGACCCGTAATTAATGTTGCTATTCGGATTGTTTTGCAATGACGTTACAAAATTTTAATCGGATATAATCTCAAACGGTCGGTGCCAGTGGAAATTGCGACGATAACAGACAGCTGCATGCGTTTCAAGAATGGTATAGCTACAATATTTACACGTGGATACGTCAAATGCCTTTTAGATCCTTTTACATCGGTATTACGCTTATATAGAGCGTTTACACATGACGTCACAGCCGCCATGTTGGTGTTTCAATTCAAAAGAATTTTAATTAGACTCTTTTGTCTGGAACACCAACATGACCGCCATGGTTTTTGACGAGTTGGTCCCTGGGGAATGAGTACAAACGCTCTACAGGGTGAGTAAAAAAAAACTGATACCTTTGATATTCAAATTAGCCGCATAGGTGTCAGTTTTTTTTTACTCACCCTGTGCAGGGTTTATAAAAAAATGTACACCCTTTCAAATTCAGATTAACCGTAACCTATTCTACTAATTTGACAGCCGTATAATTTCTCGAATTAATGAATGCGTGAAAACACAAGGTCTTCTGCCTGACATGGGAATTTAGGATGACTTCTATTTGTATGAACAAATACACAACTCAAAGAAAAATGTTTAAATTAAGTACTATTCAAATCCGCATAAGATATAAAATGGGCCAGCTTACTGCAGAGCAACGAACATTTGAAAGTTATGGCTAATTTGAATTTGAAAGGGTGTACATTATTTTGATATACACCCTGTTATAGCTAATTACGTACCTAGCCTAGACTGTTTTATCTTTACAACAACTAATGTCAACTATATGATATAATTACTTTCTTAACCACCCAGTCCGGAGAAAACCCACGACTTTCGGCAGAGTTTTGACTGACTCTTTTCACTTGAGTCCGTAGGCGTAGCGAGAAACCCACGATCTCAGAGGTGAAAGGCGCTTGCCCTGACAGGCTAAATAGAGTCTGCCCCGGAACTTCTCGTTATGATTTTACATTCCAGCCTCCTCAACGATAAATAAAACTTGCTTTAACAACGCTTTAACACGTTAAAATGTCAATGTTGGGAAAGATATTTCGAAATACAAATTTGACACTCTTATACCCTTATATGACACTCTTACACCCTTATATATATATTCCTCGACTGCTCTTATACATTGATGTGATACTATCTCTGTCAGCTGCAATATGGGAAAACTAACTATTTTGGTGTCGGTCTTCGCTCTTTTTCTGGTTCCCTGCTATGGAGACGTGTTACTTATGTACTACACTGCTGCGGGCGAAATAAGAGTCAGTGGAGCAAATGGAAAACAATTTTCCTTAATCAACAATTTCAACAGCACGGAGACGATAAGCCTCGCAATTCATTACGAACAGGACTTGATCTTTATTGCTGATTACAGTAAAATAGTCCGGATTCATTTGGTTAACGAATATGGTAATAGAGTAATTTCTGGCAATGGTGAACTGTTCGTTAACTCTACAGCGAGACACCGCGAAGAGTTGATAAAGACACTTAATAGCAATCAGTGCCAAACGGAGCTCATTTCTACAAGGTTGTGATTTTTACGCTAGTCTTACAGATTTCTAAATATATTCCATATTTCCTCTATTTAGCCCCTATAGGGCTTAATTTTCTTATTATTACAACGGGGGGACTAAATAGATACTGCCAGAGGGGGGGGGGGGGCTAAAGTTAATTTTCACCGTTCTTGTAAAAAATATTAAGTTACAGGACCATCTGCAATGGAGGTACATTTTGAAAAATGTTTCATACAATTTACCATTGTTGGCCGGGGCTTTACATACAAAGTATTACCAGTGCATGAATGTTGTACAGAACGTTTGTGTTCATATATTTCGTTAAAAATTTCCATGGAAAATGATTTAATTAATGCAGGGGAGATGGGCTAAATAGAGGTAGGGGCTTATTTTGTGTGAGCGCTTCTAGACTGGGGCTAATTAGAAGGGGGATAAAGATGAGCTGAGGGAATACGTAATACCACGTATTCTATCAGCATTGATAATACCTCTATTGAACTGCGTTGCAATGTATTGTCAATTGTATTGTCATTATTATATATTGTCAATTGTATTGCGTTTCGTTGCGTTGCGGTGCATGGCTTGTGTTGTGTTGTGCAGTTGTGTTGTGTTGTGTTGTGTTGTGTTGTGTCATTGTGTTGTGTCGTTGCATGTGTTGTGTCGTTGTGCTGTGTCGTTGTGCCGTGTCGTTGTGTTGTGTTAGACTGGCTAAAAAGAGGCAAGGCTAAAAGACTCTGCCCCCGAACTTCTCGTTGTGATTTTACATTCCAGCCTCCCCAACAATAAATAAAACTTACTTTAACACGCTAAAATGTTAATATTGAGAAATATATTTCGAAATACAAATGTAACACTCTTACACCCTTATACCTCTGCTCTTATACATTGATATGATACTATCTCTAGCAGCTGCAATATGGGAAAATTAACTAGTTTGGCGTCGATCTTCGCTCTTTTTTTGGTATGGAGACGTGTTACTTATGTACTACACTGCTGCGGGCGAAATAAGAGTCAGTGGAGCAAATGGAAATAAGCCGCGCAATTCATTGCGAACAGGACTTAATCTTTGTGGCGTCGTCGTGTTGTGTTGTGTTGTGTTGTGTTGTGTACTTGTGTTGTGTTGTTCGCCTGGCAAAGAGCAAATGTTGAGATAATAGTATTTTCCTCAGTTGAAGGATTTTGTAGATGGAAATTAAAAAAAAACTCCGTTGAAAGTGTTTGCGTCTAATTAAAATAATTGTCCGGCATTGCGATCGGTTGAAACGTTGAAAGAACTCGCAGTGCGTGCGCTTGCGAACTATTAACTCTTTTACGATAAATGGAAATAATTGACAAACCGACTCATAATACTCGTAATTTAGTAATCTAACGACCACGAAATATGCGAGGTTGCCAGTTTTATAGATTTGACAGATTATATTTTAGAAATTTGTGGCGGCACAGTGATAACAATCTATTTAATACTATTTGCTAGGTCAAATCTTCATGGTCTATACGTGGATACGGTCGCCAATAAGCTCTACGTTTCCTGTAGGTCTGTACTAGAACTTAATCTTGATGGGAGTGGTGAAAGAATTGCGTTCGGCGGTGATTCAATTGGCCTCTGGGAACCGACAATATACCAAGGAAAGTTTTACTTCGGAGTCAGTGGTTTTGGTAACAGCGGCATATACACAGCTACGCTGAATCCAAACAAGACTGTTATACCTAATAGGTAAGAAAGTATGAATATGTAGATATTATACTGACGCTTTAGAATTGCGCAATCGAACTGCATGTTAATAAGTCGATATCCGAACATGCCCATGGCGCGGATACCAAAGGCTGTCCTCCATTACGACCACTTTGTTCACGCGGGTGTTGTGTGCTTGAAGCGCGCATACGTACGCCCGCTCAGTCCAATCTCCAATAATTTTCCACTGCGTGGCGGAATGCGCTGGGAAAACAAAAGCAATATGGCGGCCCTAAATTGGAGAAGACTTCTTAAGTTGATTATTCTTAAGGCGAATATTAAGAAGAGAAAACTACAAAAAGGGATTCTGGATGCGAGAAATCTACACAGAAATTAAGCAAGCAGCAAGCATCATTGGCGGACACAGAAGTTTCTGCGACTTATTTTAGGTCCTTATGTATAAATATGGACACATGTAGACAATTTTCAGATTTGTTGAAATATACGCATGCATGCTATATGTTTCACTGTGTTACAATAATTCCAGCTCTGTTTATCTTTCTAGATTAATTTCTGCGTCCGACGTTACTTCCATAGGACGAATGAAGAACTCGAGTAAACTTTACTACATCGACCAGGAATACGATCAAATCAGGGTAATTGACTTAAATGAAACAAATCCGAAATCAAATTTAGTTATCCACTGGACTAGTTATAATAATCTACTTCGCACATTAGCTGTCTCTGGTGGCTATGTGTTCTGGACGGAAAGAACATATGATGCGCATGCCGTTTTAGATCAGTACAGTTGGGGACTTGAAGCAGGGAAGATAAGGAACGGTGTGGTAACTCGTAATAACACTTGGTCAATGGACTACCGCCGCGGTTACCATACGAGAAACGCAGTTTATCAGTTGGTTGCTTTCGAACACAATTTTCCCCAACAGAAACCAAGTACGCCCCACACAAATTCGAATAGAGTTACAACAGTTACTACAACAACAGCCAGCTCCCACGCCAGCCTACCGTTGATAAGTTGGGAAATTATGTTGTTCGCTTTTGTATCAGCCATTGTTGAATTCGTGAATGTTTAATGAGAATCAAATAAATATTGTGGTACAGTATTTAGGTTACATTTAAAACTAAATTCGATCTTATCTTAATTATTTAATATTATATTAAAAAAGATTATCTATAGACTAATTATTTAATTTAATAAATGTCTGTATATGAATCTCCAGTGTTAAGATTTTGTCTTTTCTTGATCAATAATCTTCCACCTGCAAGCATGATTTTCGATTTTCCCATTGTTTATATGTTGTCTACTGTAATTACACAAATAAAATAAATTCCTTGTAAATAACATAAACAATGGAAGTATTCTGTGGTGTAAACGTAGCTTTTTAATAGACGAGCAAATCAAATCGGAATAAGTGAAAATAAGTGGAGTTCGTATTTTAATCGCTTCTTTTATGCAAAATCAAAACAGCGTACTGGCGTATGCAACGGATATCCGAAACACTCAGCCTAGTCCCAGGCTCTCTCTCTATTCGCGGCTTTGATATATTTAAATAAGTCTTAAAAGTTTTATGCCTGGGTGTGCTGTGCGGAACGCTTCAGCGAGAGAGCCTAGCAGATTTCGGTAAAATGGTCCCTGATTTCAAAAAAGTGGTCCCTGGCCTGGTTACCAAGCATACCTCATTTGTAAATGGAAAATGTTATGGAAATCTCCTTTGCATTTATAATTGAGTCATTAGTTTTGCTCTAATGCTGTCGGAACAATGAAATAGGCTACGTTTCGCTGTCTAAATATGACTCGTGTTTACTAAAATATATAGCCATATTAAATGCTATCTAGAAGCTTGAAAATTATGCCGAGTCTCCGACTAAAAATGTTTTGACAACACCGTCATGTCAGGCAAATATTTCCAATCTCCTCAGCAATTTGAACCTGTCAAGTAGAAAGCGTAGTTGTGTATACCAGTATGGTCTAGTGTTGATCACAACTTGCGAGTATATAAATAACATCAACGATTGCTCAAACTCGGTATCGTAAATTTGTATATAATTTTTTTTAGTTGAGCACATTTTTAATACGGTTTGATTTGGTTATGTAGACATCGAACATGTATATGATGAACGAACATTGTCGTATTTATAATTAAAAGGTTACTTGTATATATAAATTTTCCGCCATATTAAAAATACTGAAATCTGCTAGGCGTTCTGAAGCACCTTGAGCGGTGACGTCACACCTAGATCCCAGTCTCGTACTACATCCACGTTTTTCTCGCGCTTGCTTCAGAACGACTGGGACTAGGCTGCGAAACACTATAGTCTCAAAACTATAGGAATGGATAGAGCAACCTTTTGAATTCAGAGAATTAATTTTAAACCCAGAATATTTATAATTAGGAGAGATTTTTAAATCTGTCGCATTACGGATCAAATCGTTCCATGTTTAAATAATAAATTGCTTACTATATCAAGCAAATATTTTTTCACGTCACTCGGAAGATAAAACTTCCCACATCTCTTCTATAATCAGTTTTAGATCGTTTTAAACATGGGATGATGAGACTTGTGGCAGCCATATTGGCATGACTTCATTAATTATTCACTGGCAATAACCAATTTCTCTCAATGCAATCATTTTCAGTATTCCTACCAATCAACAGAAACTCTCTAACATATCAGTAACACCACTGTAGATTCGCCGTGGTCATACCAATATGGCCGTGTGAAATATCTTGTTCCAAATAATCTATATGATATTAATTGCTTAAACTGAATGTTTACGGTCGGAAACATAGGCGTTCCTATACAGAAGTCCATCTCCATTGTTTTTGCCAGAAGGCCCAAAATACGAATCGTACAGGACAAATCGCAACGTGTAAACGTAGCTTTAATCCATTTCAGTAGCAAACTGGTCACAATTTGATTGGATTTTCAATAAACCTTTTAATGTTAAAGAAAGTTGTTTATCAGTTTATATAAGACATGCTTAACTCCGTTGGGAATTAAACTCACTTCATTACGGCATAAATACAGAATATATACTATATTAGCTTAATAAGAAAAACATAACAACTAGGTCTACTGTATGTTGGCAACATGCATGCATATGACCAATCTCGTAATAATAAACACGTCCATTGTGTTTCAGAGGTGCTTTTCGCGCTTGGAGGTTAAAGTTTGCGGTTGCGAGTTTTGACCCTTCAAAGGACAACGTTATAATCGAATTATCTGCATGTATGCAATCTAAAAATCACTGACATTAATAATCACTGCGTTATTTTGCTCACAAAATTGTATAAGAAAAGAGCATGCACAGTTTTACACGTTCACCAAATTGAGAATTCCACAACATTTTTGACAACTTTACGTTAGTATGGGTAGTTTGGGGGTCTTCTGGTATCTCAATCATGACAAAATTATTCAGAGAAGTACATTTTCGAGTGCATGCAGTTTTGGGCTGCAAGTTTTTAAAATCACTTTCAAACATCATTAATAATTCAGAAGCTTATTGGCAAATCATGTCAACCATAATATGTGACGTGCAGTGGCTTTAAACCTGATAAAACACTCCTAATTAGTACTTTTTATATAAAGAATACTAATAAGTCAGTATCTATTGTAGTCGTGTCCAAAGTTGTCACAAATTTTGCGGAATTGTCAGTCTAGTGGACATAATGGAACTTTTTATACACCCTGTATAGGTTACCTGGAGAAGTATATTTGATTCACTTCTTGTATGGACTGTATCATTAAATGCTTTAATTATTATGCTTAACTATATATTTGAAGTAATAATTTGGCAGAATCAGATGTCATTTTTGTCTCGGAGTCGGACTGAAAAAGCTTTCATTTGAAATCCGGTCTAGTCATTAATTAGAACCAAGCCAGGTTTGAGTTGTAGCTGTCTCAGAGGATGAACATCGGTGTGCCGTATTAATACAACCATAGTAACCAAAATTGTCTTCTGTGTACGTGCCTGAAAGTGTTGTACAACGTTTACCCCCAGTTAGCCGAAATTGACAGTTTCTATTCGCAGCGTAAAAGGAATCACTGTGCAGTATATAATCCCATTGAGTTAGAAATGCAGTGCAGTTGGAACAGCTCTGGCCTCGAACATCAATCAGTTCGACTAAAGGACACTGCGTCCTGTTCTTGAAGGTTAGAATATCGATTTCCTTCTTTGTCACTTGAAGATAATCACGGTAGACCAGACCATCAGTATCATACTTGCATGTAACGCGCAATTTACTGGAGTTATCTTGGATGGATTGCATTCTGGACTTTGAAAGACGATACGAATCCCATCTTGGAGAATCTTGGTGTATAGGGAAATCTACAATGTAGGCCTTGAATTTGAACGTGTCCTTAACTCTTTGTTCATATGATTGAACCAGTGTCCATGTCATGGTAGTATTTAACTCAAAATCACAGAAAACTTCAAAGAGATTCATGTCATCGTCAAACACCTTGTACTTTCCACGAACACGATTACCATTCATGTAACCACGACATGATCTGACCATATATTGACAAAGATTTCCTGCGTAGCCCGGAGAACAAAGACATTTGTAACGAGGCGTTGTATAATCTGTAGGTGTGAGTGAAACATAATTCGCACCATTTTGACACGGATTCTTACGGCATTCTGGAATTCGAGTGCATGAAGCGGAATTGGTTAGCCCAAACTTGAAAGAAAAAAATTGAAGTCAACACTAGTCTTCGCGACATGTACTTTCAAACTATTTTGTGCAGCAGCGCATTTGTAATTGGATTCTATTTCAATCATGTTTTCGCTAATGAAATAACCAGAATTTAACATATCAGTTTCTGATAAATCTGGCCGAATTTTCTTGATTTTTCCGCATTTTCCCGAATTCCAGTCTATGGTTTTCCAAATTTATTTTTTGGGGGAAGAGGGGAAAGTTACCCCCCTGCCTTCTGTCTCGTATATACGCCTATACATGACGACCAAACATTTCGACACTGAACTCTAATATCTTCGTCAGGAGGTAATCTGAATTCGCAACGTTGCTTATACTCCAGGAATGACGTCATCTACCAAAGAGGTTGAGATCTTTTTGACAGACCACCCCTGATAAAAACACCAAACCGATGGCCGGGAGGACAGCATTACGTTTTGTGATCAATTTTCTGACATTAATTTTCATTTCGTACATCTGTAAAAACTGTCAATACTTCATCCGTGTCTTCTTTACTTCTTCTTCAATTTTTTTAACGGACAAAATATAATTTGTAACGTTGTTTATTTAAATTTTATGTTCGAAGCGTTTGAATACCAATCCATCCAAATTCTATGATTTATTTTAATATTCGCGCGCACATTACAAAACCGGTAATGCGATACAATATGTCACAGTTTTTACAGGATATGAATTGAAAATTAATGTCAGAATTTGTTCTTTAAAAAAAAAAGCGTACTGCTGTGCTCCCTTGACTGACTGGAGTGTCGAAACGTTGGGTCGTTAATTCTGCAGTCATTTACTTAAAAACCAGAGTAGCGAGCAAAAATTTTGGATTCGGAAACAGTAGAAGTGTCTGGAATGATGAAATAAAAAACATATAAATAGTTTTTACCGAATTTGGCACCATATCATAGTAGGAACATCCCGTCATTGCGTGTAATGCTGATGGAGACTGGAATCGATTGGATGACAGCAGTTGACATTCGGTATTCTGACATATTTGAAATGACATACACAGGCAGTCCTCGAGGCAAGAAAAAAAGCATCCGACAATAGTTTTCATGGTTAGGTTACGAAAGGCATGACCAGACAGGATTTTCCCATTCAATGCTTTGTCCATTTCAATCCGGTATTGTGACTTCACCAAGACTTGAAATACACTTGTTATCATAACTACGGCAAGAACTGCAGTAAGCTTAAATCTTGTGTAATCTCTGAAATAGTGAAATACATGCTTAGCTTGAAAATTCCTAATAAACCTTTAATTTCATAATGACATCAAACGCGAAAAAAACCGGCGGACAATTCTACAGCGATAATTCGCAATATGAAATGATGCATGCTGTTACATGAAATTTGATTGGCTTCACTGCAAAGTGCAGTTGTCAGTGAAAATTGTCCTATCGTTGGTTCAAAGGTGTAACTTATATACTTCAGTGAATGTTCGTGAACGAACTTTTTTTACTTTTGCATATTTTCACGTAGGCTACTAGTTATTCTGAAGCAACAAAGAGTTCAACATAAGCGCATTATGAAATATAAAAAATTTAATTTACTTAGCTACATCATTAAATATCAACACACATGAACACCTATATATAATAGGAGAAATACTAAACCGCATCCGCTCACTAGAATAACAGCACGGAAATTATAATCTTCAAATTCCAGTACATCAATAAAAATAGGTACGCGCTGTGTACATGTGGGTAGCCTGCATTGCTAAAGCTGGAGTAATACGAGCAACAAAATTGCTGCAACTTGTACCAAAATCTAATTTCAACGCATGTTAAATAGAAATGTTGATACATGTTGCCTCGTGATTTGTAATGTATGTGTAAACATTTTCAATTACCTTGCGCAGAAATCAGATTTGTTGCCAAGTTGCAGCACTGTTTGTTGCCCATATTACTCCACCTTAATCGCTATTGTCAAATTCTGAATTTACTGAAGGAAATATTAAGTAAATGAACACAGTTGGAACATTATACACACATTTAATCACATACAAAACATCAGATATGACAAAAATACATAAACGACTGTTACGTGTATTTTTCAATAAGCATAAACAGATCTAAGAAGTTACAAAGTATTTTAATGTGTAAAAATAATTTATACACACACTGAACAGCCAGAACAGACAGAATAGTACAAGGTCTTTAATATGTATACGAAACAAAATACTTCACAGGACGAAATACAGACAGTACGAAGAACACTTAACACAAGAAGAGTTCTTGTTCAAGGACAGCATACATCAAAGGATCAGGTTTACAGGCTGCGTATACAATTTTCACGAAGTCTGAACTTCAAGGACAGATCGAACTTCAAGGATAGTCCGTGCAAAGATCTAAGGACGATGTTTTCCGGCAGAGTTGAAAAAGATCGACATATTCTTTATTTAGTGATGATTAAATTAAACAACGACATATTCGATCCCATATGTATTGGTAATGACATACAACTTGCTTTCAATATTTGACAAATATATCCCAAAAACTCCGTGCGCTAATAATATTCCACTGTAATTGACCCTTGTGTAAACCGTACTTGGCTTTTTATTTGCCTTATTTTACACATTCGACCAGCGCATTCGAAAAATATAATACAAATATATTACACACTCATATATTATAGTTACATAGTCGACATATATATTTCATAGACCGTACAGACCTAACCCGATTCCAATGACGTAGGCCTACAAACATTATGTATGCAACGACATACTCGAGCTCGATTCTATATATATATGTTCGTCAACATTCCTTCGATATAGTCATATAGACTAACGTGATTTTCATTTTTGCATTACTTAGTTGATATCGTAAAATATGTCCAATCGTCGCGCGCTATATCATTATTTACTAAATTGATATATCGTGTTTAAATATGACATTACACGATATAAAACAGACCCAGTGCGCTAATATCTTGAACCCCAATGGCCTTGTACAAGCTGTGATTATATAAAGTTATAAACAACGACATATTGGATTCTATATGCGTTGGAAATGACTTCAACCGTTTTTCTACCACCAAGTAATGATAAATTATTGTCAATAATTTTATAATTTTTGGATGCTCTGAATGCAGGAAATAGCATTTCTGGGTTTCAAATTACAAAAATTTTCTGGGAATTATCCCTCTAATAAGTAATGATAAATAGACAACTTGCATGTTAGACAAATTTTTTATCTAGCCGATCTAGGCAAAAAAAAAGTAAATTCCCGTTAAGAACTTATTAAAATTAGTAAACTTGCAAAATCTGGTTGCGAAATGTTGTAAAGCTTGGAAAATATAGCTTTGCAAAGTTTGCATATTTTCAGTATATTTGTATTACGAGCGGAAATTGTTACCATTTTTGAGCCGAAAATGGTAACAATTTCCGCTCGTAATACAAATATA